ACATACATACATACATACATACCTTCGTACGTACATACAGACATACACGCATACATACATATATGTTACATACAGATACTTAGATCCCTCACTCGTCCATGTGCAAAGGTATATGCATACACATGTACATACATACATACATATGCATGTATACATACGCACGCATATACACATGTGAACGTCACCAGTTTAGCATGCATGTGTGTATGTACATGCAGCAGGCACTATTGAGCATGTTCTCCCTCTCTCTCCCACACTCTCTCTCTCTCTCTCTCTACATCGCTTCATCTCTCCATCCATCTATTTGCCTGTCTGTCTGTCTATTCATCCATGCATCCGTGTGTCTATTTTTTTACCTCTCCCCTTCTCTCTCTTTTTATCTATGTTTCTATCTACCTGTCGATCGGTCGATTCATCACTCCACCGATCTATCGATCTGTCGGTCTATCGATCGATCTAACTGTCTATCTATCTATCTATCTATCTATCTAGCTTCGCTCTCTGGCCAGCTCGCTTGCTTGCTCTCGATCTGTCCATATACCTACCTGTCGATCTACCTATCAATCTCTCTGTCTGTCTATCTTCCGTCTATGTGTCTAGCTATCTGTCTATTTGTTTATCGATTACATAGGTTGGTGCAGATACAAACTTAGACAGACTGGTACGCGAAAAGCATGCTTCTTTTCCGTACATTAATGAGGGTGATCTGCAGACCTTACAGGAATTGCAGTTCTTCGTGCTTGAAGTTTATCTCAGCCCGGTGTAGGACTTAGCGTTATTGATAGTCTCAGGCAGAGCTCCTGCTGACTCAGCTTCAGTCAGGGAGGGTGTGCACACAGCTCGCGTAGCTAGGAGCTAATGCGTGAATCCGTGACTCAAAGGGAACTGCACGGTCAGTAACTTCTAGGTCGGAGCCATCCTTTGTGACCTGAAGCTTGCATTGCTTGCATCTGTGGCAAAAGTTCTAAAACCTCCTTTCCGAACGCAGATATCACATGTCTATATATATATAGATATATACAGGTATAGATGGATAGATAGATAGACGGATGGATGGATAGATAGATAGATATAGATAGATGGATGGATGGATGGATAGATAGGTCGAGTACATACATATTTATCAGTAGGGCTGGGTTGGCTGGGTGGCCGTACTACTGCACTTTAGGTCTCAGTCGAGGGCTGCGGTCGTTAGCGAGAAGGATGCTTGATAACTATGCCAGGGACGTTCATCTTCCACAGCCCTTCACCAGCACTCTATCAAATCGGTCACATATGTCAGAAGGAATTGAAGGAACGGACATCATGCCCCGCTTGCCACCGTATGTTGCCGGGTTCAGTGCAATGTGCGACAGTTTCGGAGTCGATGCGGGCGCGCTGTCAGAATTCGAGCGAGGGCAGGGCCTGCTTTACAAAACGACATACCGCAGACAGATCAGTGGCACTCAACACATGCGCATAACCTTGTTGACCCGTCGCGTCTCCAGCAGATACCCACAGAGTTGTGAGAGAGAGAGACCCTGTAAAGGAGCTTCAGCTTGCCTTAGCCCGGCTTCTGATTGTACAGCAAGGGAACAGGATGGCACTGTTTGGGTCGAGATGGTTGCTGAGTTCGAAGCTGACATGTTCACCAGCACTTGACTAGACTAGACCCACTTGATGGAAGATGATTGGTTTAATGACATTTCATCGGAGGCTGCCAGCTGTTTGAGCGCCGACGATAGTGGGAAGAAAGGAGGAAAGCCTTCGTCGATTCTGGTTTGTCTTCGCAGCAGGCCATTTGTGCTAGTCTGTAGTCTAGGAGTTTCTTCCAAGTCCTATACATGGTCGCCCCTGCACTGGGTCAGGCCCTGACCTCCTAGCAAGATTGCTGTCCTGGAGTGTGAGATCGAGGTTAACGCCTTCTGGGGGTTCCAGCCCTGCCGTCTTTTTGCGACATCCGCTCTGTGCGTAGAACCATGTGCCCGGAGGTGACTTCGTAGGCCTTATCATCCAGCTTCAGCTTGCTGGAGAACCCTGCCACTGTATGTGCGCCGCCTACCTATGAGATGCTACCTCCCCACTCTGCCGGTGGCACCTGTTCAGAAGTCATCAACGTGAGCCGAGGTAACTGTTCTGGAGTTCATGAGCATGGATTCTCACACACGAGAATTTGTTGTATCTTCTTCAGCACAGGGACAAGCTGAAAATTAAAACCCGCAGCCCAGATCTAGCCCCGAACCAGTAAATCAAAATGGGAGGTGGGGAGCCAAACTGGGAGCATGGCGTGATGTTGTGGATTCAGTGTTGCTTAGGATCACGGGTGGGCATGCCAACGGTCAGAGGCAGACTTACAGTAACATGCACGTGTCCCTGCCTACATAGGTTCATGCGCCCCTTGGAATCCGGCCAAAGCTGGTTGGAACTCCTGGCAAGGGATCCGAAGCCGCTCCTCGCTTGTCGGCGCAGGAACATCCCGTGCCAAGCGGACGGGACGTCCTCGCCTGTCTTCCATTTGGAGCTAATTGGGTTTATCTTCTCCTACAGGACTCCCCATCGATTGTAAGCCCCACCTCCTCTCTTTTTCCCGGAGCTCTGGCGACTGAGGGGAGGAAGGGTGGCGTCCGGTGGGAGAAGCAGCTGCAACATCATGCGGCCGAAAGGCCTCGATTTTTTTAGAGATCTTCGTTCTAGGCGGATGAAACGTTCATGCGGCGGGCCTGTGCGTTGGTGCAGAATTCTCGTCAAGTTGACGTTATGCTCTCATCGTGTCTTCAAGGCAACACTCATTCTCACACATTCCTCCTGCCAGCTAACGTATACAGGAACAGCAGGCC